ATCTCGATTGAGTCACAAACCCTACAATTCACCACTAGGATGGCTATGTTGATAAGACAGATGATGATTATTGGCAAGCATATGGAGAAGTTGGAACTCTCTTGCACCGCTGGTGGGAATGTAAAATGGTGCATCTGCTTTGGAAAACAGTCCTAGGTTTGTATAGAAGAAAAAGGAAATAATATGTTTACAGAGAAAGTTGTGCATGACGATTCACAATTGCATTAGTCACAACAGCCCCAAAGTGGAACTAAGCCAAATATCCATAATCTAATGAATGTACAGATCAAATGTGGTATATTTATACAATGGGATATAATACAGGAGTAAAACCAAAAGAAATACTGTTATGTGGCACAACATGGATGGGCCTTGAAGACAATATGCTGAATGAAATAATCTATTCCAAGGGACAACATATGGTATGACTCCCGTATTAGTCAGTTCAGGCTTCTCTAACAAAAATACAGAAGACTGCATGTCTCAAACAACAAAATTTATTTATCCCAATTCTAGAGGCTGGGAACTCCGGGATCAGGGTGCTGGCAGGTTTGATGCTTGGTGAAGCCCTGCATCCTGGTTCACAGACAGCTGGCTTCTCCTCTGTTTATACATGATGGAGAGAGCAAGAGAGCTCTCTGGGGTCGCTTTTACAAGGGTACTGAGACCATTCATGAGGGCTCCACTGAAAGTTCCTCTCCTAATATCACAATGGGGGTTAAGATTTCAGTTTGTGAACTTGGGGTAGGGAGGGATGCTATCATTCAACCCATAATCATTTGCATTATATCAAATGTCCAGAATAAGCAAATCCATGGGAACAGAAAGTAGATTAGTGGCTGCATATGACAGGGTGTGGATGAAATTGGGGAAATGGTTAACTTTGTTTTCGTTAAGGGTGATGATAACACTGTCCTAAAATGGACTGTGCTGTTGGTTGTACAACTCTGTAAACATACTGTAAAAATCATTAAAGTGTACACTTTAAATGGGTGAATTGTAGGGTTTGTGAATCCATCAAGATGTTATTAAAAATTGAATCTTTAAAAAATTTCAGAGCAGAACATGTGAAGGTAATAGATTAGACAATTGATCACAAACTAATTATTTTGCAGAAATAAAGGTAAAGACAGACAAGAAAAATGATCAGAATTCTTGTGTGTGAGAAGTATGAAAAGCAAGGAAAACCACACTTTTGCTTCTGTCAGGTTGGAATTTCTTGTATTAGAAGTAATTATTTCTATGTTTTTTTAATAAATCTGTATATATACAAAACTATATCAAAAATAAAATTATTTTTAAAATCTATACTTTTGCTACATTAGGTACAAAGTTTTTATTTTCAACTTAAAAAAAAATCTATCCTAAGTGCTTACCATGACTGTCATGAGTTAACTGATGTATCTCTTTCGAACGTTTTATTAAAAACATTTTTATTTTAAAGATGTGGGATACAATTCAGGGTTAGGTAGACAAATGTTCATCATGCAGGTACCCTTGTTGATGAGGGTATCTGCCACCCTGGCAGATTCCCACTACTGCCAGTCTTGCTCCCCCTGCTGGCAGTTTTCCACTACTGCCAAACCTTTTCTTACAGTATTATGATAATTGATGAAGGTCCGTTTATGAGTGAGAACATAAGATACTCAGTTCTTTGCTTCTGTGGTAGATCACTCAGTAATATAGATTCTAAGACCATCCAAGTTGCTGTGAAGTTCATAATTTTGTACTTGTTTATGGCTGTGTAATATGAAATACTTTGTCATCTTCCTAAACAGAGACGTGAAAGAACTTTACAACGAAAACTAGAAAACACGGCTGAAAGAAATCAAAGATGACATTAAAAAAGGGACAAGTATTCCATGCTCATGGATTGGAAGAATCAACATTGTTAGGATGTTCATTCTATCCAAGGCAATCTACAGATATAACGCAATACCCATTAAATTACCAGCAGTATTCTTCTCAGACCTGGAAATGACAATACAGGAATTCAAACAGAAACATAAATGACCATGAATAGCCAAAACAATCCTAAGAAAACAACAACAACAACAAAGTGGGAGGTATCACATTCCAAGACTTTAAACTTTATCATAAAGCTACGATAATCAAAACAGCCTGGTATTGGTACAAGAATAGGCATATAGACCAATGGAATAGGATAGAGATTCCAGAAGCAAAACCTCAATTTCTCAACCAACTCATCTGCTTTTGAATGTTTAATAAGCATTTTTGGCTCTTATAGAGCTATAGAAGCTAACATTTATCTGATGATTCCTCTGACTTATTTAATCCCATCTTCTCTTATCTTCTCAGGGATAAAAGAGACACAGTGGAGAGATAAATACAATGTTTGATAAATGGAAAGAGGAAAATCCTCGAAAAGCAGTTCCAGATGTAGAAAATGTCTTTGGGGATGGTGAGTGACTCTGTGCTCAGTGAGTGCTCTTGAAGGTGGACTCCTCTTCACCTCATTATTATTCCATGAGGTGAAGAGTACAATGGATGTTTTCTGAAAGAAAAGGCACTGCTTACATTTTTATTCCTTCACTCCCCTCTGCGTGACTGACGGGGAGAACCTCTGTGGGCACCCACGTGTATTTCTTAAACCTTGTCTCCCTATCCTTCATGACTCAACTTGACTCTGACCGTGGCGACGTCATCTCTGAGCAAAAGTGAGTCTATGGCTGTTCTTCCATCACTTTCCTTGATGTATGGGCCATATGGCCTTGGCTGTACTCTTGACAACCCTGTAGTATGATTTCCAGATCACAGCAGAACAATGCAGCCTGACTCACTAAACTGTCCTGTGTGTGTTTCAGTGACGCCTGGTCAGCCTCAGGCTTATGTCTCATAAGTAGCAAAATGATGCACTGTTTTGCATGGTCCTAGAACTCCACATAATGAATATGACCAAAGATTTCTACATATTTAACTCAGCTACTGCTGTAGACTGGATGTTTGTGTACCTCTAAAATTCATCTGTTGAAATCCTCACTTCCAATGTGGTACTATAAGAAGACAGGGGCTTTGTAAAGTGATTAGATCATGAGAGTGGCCCTCATGAATGGGATCAGTACCCTTAGGAAGGTGAACCCAAAGAGCTCCTTTCCCTGTCTGCCATGTGAGGACATAGCAAGAAGATGGTCATGTATGCATTAGAAAGTGGGCCTTCACCAGATACCGAATCTGTAAGCACCTTGATCTTGGACTTTCCAGACTCCAGAATGGTCATAAGTCAATTTGTTTATAAGACACCCAGTATGTTTTAAAAGAATAGCAGCCTGAAATGACCAAGATGCTATGGTATGCATTAGAGACTATAAACTAGGGAATATGGAAGGTAACTGAGGTGAGATTTTTCTGGAACCTAATGTTTATTGGCTCTTGTATTAAGTAATTTGTCTTCTATAATTAATCATCACCCTAGAATTTGTGACGATGGTATTATATACTTATTTGACAAATTAGAGAACTGAAACTCAGAGAAGTCAAGCAACAATTTGACTGGCCTGTAACTACTAAGGAGTGGCCATGTAAGGCTTTGAATGTAGATCTCTCTGGTCTCTAGAGTCCACGACACACCCACACTAAATAAAGACAGCCTGCTTTTAAAGAAGGTGACTGCACCCCGTATTGTGCAATTTGACTTAATTCGATTAACCTTCCCTTCTTTTAAGACCAGTGAAGGACAAAAGAGTAGGGCCCTTCTTATCCTTCTATAGTTTACAAGAATGGATTATTGTTCCAGAAGCCTGTACTGAGTCTCAGCAAATATGACAAACTGTAATGAACATCAGGGACTGAGACTCAAATGAGCCATGCCTCCTGAGATAAGATCATTGTCCACTGAGTGGCAACAGAGATGTGGTTAATTCAATGAAAGTGTGGAGGAATGGGCTCTTGCCATAAGATGGGCATCAGAGAAGGCATTGCTAAGATGAGCATCTGTTCTGGGGCCACATCCACTATATCACAGTGAAGAGACTATCCCACCATCGAGCTCCTCCCACCTACTCACATGGCAACTCCTTTTGTGTTTTCCCAGGCTGTGTGTACCTTCCTGGAAAAAGCATTACAAGTACAATGTCAGCCGCCAAGTAGGAGGATCATGTAACTCTTATAGGATCCTCTTCAGACAACAATACTTGCTTCCTCTCATGGGCAAGAGATATACATTCTTTGGGGAAAAGTGGAAGATTTCGAATGTTGGTCCTCTGTCCTATATAAGTTCATAAGAAGCAAAGACATTTAGGTTATTTGCATAAAATCAGTATTAGTTGTTTCTTTTATTCTTTTTTAAAAATTATAACATTTTAGTTTTTATTTTTTTGAGTTGGAGTCTCACTCTGTTGCCCAGACTGGAGTGCAGTGGCACACTCACGGTCACCCTAGCATCGACCTCCTGGGCTCCAGTGATCCTTCTACCTCAGCCTTCCAAGTAGCTGGAAGTACAGGCATGCACCACCACGCCCAGCTAATTTTTTGATTTATTGTAGAGATGAGATTTCACCAGGTTGTATGGGCTGATCTCGAACCCCTGAGCTCAGGCAATCCTCTCTCCTCGGCCTCCCAAAGTGCTGGGAGTATAGACACAAGCCACCGTGCCCGGCCTATAACTTTTTATTTCAAAAGAGTTTCTAACTCATAAGAAGTAGTAAAAATAGTACAGAATTCCAAAGTATCCTTCACCCATCTTCTCCTAGTGATAATACTTTAAAAAAATAACAGTAGCCATAGTCAAAACCAAGACATTGATACTGATAAAGTGCAGGTACAGTTTTTACCAGGCAATATTTACCAGGCTAAAAATATTGCTAATAAACACAGAAATTCCTAGTCTTGCTTGGCCCATCTACCCCTTTTTCATGGGATATTTTGAGGGCAGTGACACTCACCATTGAACACAGAAATTCCCGTCTTGCTTAGATCATCTACCCCTTCTTCATGGAATTTTTCAAGGCAGTGATGTGTCTCACCATTCTGGACATGGGGCCATGGACTGTAAAACTCAAAGAACCACTGTATTTAAGCCAATGCCAGATAGCTCAAAGCAGAACCCTGTGGTCAACTGGACTGTAGCAGATGACCAAAGTCAGTGTTGTCCAATAGAATTCTCACCAGGATGGAAATGTCCCCCATCTGTGTTGTCCAATATGGAATCCACAGGCCACGTGTGACTTTTGAGTACTTGAAGTCTGGCTAGCTCAAATGAGGAATTGATTTTCAAATTTAATTAATTGAAATTTAACTTTGAATAGACTTGTGAGGCTATTGGCTATCACATTGGTCAGTGAAGATCTTGGTCCAGTGGATACTTCATTACTCCTGACCCCAAGCTTTTTACTTTGCTTTTAAATGCTTAACTCTTGGGGCTTCCATGTCCACCCTAACCTCAATTCTGATTCCTGCTGGCCAGAGACCAGCTCAGTCCTTCAGAACGAGGAAGAGAAAATGATCTAGCATGTTCCATGTCTGAATAAGGACCCCAAATAGAAGAGCAGTATCCATCATTTTCCCCCCTCTTTGCATTTCTCTGGTGTGTTTTACCCACCACCCCTCACTATCTAGAGGCAGAAGTGGAGCGCTACTGTTCCATGGGTTCTTGTAGACATACCGAATCTCATTTATGCCCTGGAATTTCAGTCATTCCTACTAGGGTTCCACTGTCTTTGGCACCAACAATGAGTGAAAGTGAAATACAAACTAGGAACCTCATATTCTCCCTTAAATTCTGTTCTCAGTAAGGTTGTTTAGGTCAACACGTATATTGACCTATTATGAAACTGAACCCTGTGGCAAATACTAGTTATTGAGGATTGAAAAAAGTGCAGCTTTCTGGAATGGAAAGAGTAGCATTTAGTGGGAGACAGAAACAATTTAGACAAATATTGTATAATTTCACTTATATGAGGTATTTACAGCAGTCAAATTTATAGAGACAGAATGTAGAATGGTAGTTGCCAAGGGCTGGGGGGAGGAGTATGGAGCTGTGGTTTGGGATGATAAAAAAATTTCGATAAAAGGGTAGGGATGATGGTTGTACAATATTGTGGTTGTGCTCAATGCCACTGAATTAAATTTGATATAATGAGAAGTGAGATGGAGTCATGAGGGCTTAAGGGAAGACGTTCCTTAAGACAAAGTTTGTGGTCTATATCTATTAACATAAAATCTTCCTACAGCACCTGTCCTACCACCTGTCCCACCACCTGTCCCCTTCCCTATCTTTGTAGTACAAATCCCATTATGGTTTTTTCAGTGGACATTCTCATTTATACCATTGTCGTCTTCTGAGAGGAGGCATGGGCATCATATATCCTTTTTCACATCATGAAGATTCAACAGAGGCAGAGTCATCATTCTACAATCTACATTCTTCTGAAGTTCAGTCATCCAAGGTTATAGCTTCCAGGTAGGGGAAAGTATTCTGTGGGAAAAGCTGACAGCATTGGATGCTGCTTCTCAATACCATGAAGGATCATGGGAATGAGAGGAATTTAGGTGATTTTCATAGGAATCAGGGGAGAATGAATGACCTATGCAATATTACCAATGCATATAGACATTTCTGAATCAAGCCTTATTCAAACCAGCTCTTCTTCATGGAGGTTTCTAGGGCAGCTATACTCAGAAAGTTAGTAATGCAATCAAACACTGTGACAATATCAACTGAGTGTTAAACAGTGCTTGAAACCAATCTAATTCTCTAGGACATTCATTGATGATGAGGCTGAAAGTCAGAGTGCGGTCCCTGAGGTTGTCTGCTGGTCAAAGTTTCACACCAGGGAAGAGGGGAAATCCTCGATTTGTAGTGTTTGACAATTTCCATGGGGGTCAATACTTCCATCATGGCATATTTCAAACTACCAACATGATGTCTTTGATTATGTAGTTGGGAAGACATGTTCAGCAGTCCATGGTTCTAGTTTCACCACAAAGATACAACAGACATAAATAACTATAACAACATAGTCTACAGTAAAGTGTAGTAAAATAACTAGAAATTAAAACATGTGAAGCATTTACTTTGTTTTTATTATGATTTATATAAGTTTTAGTTTATAGTATTAGATTTTACTAATGGTTGTATTTAACAACCTGTTCCCCAAATCTCTGGGATATGACCATCGGCCCTTGTGGCCTGGGATGAGCCGTCTCCAGCTCAGTATTAGCTTCTTCCCATCTTCTAAGTCCTATCCTCAGCCAGCCAACAGAATCCAGCATGCACATGCATCAAGAGAAAGAATATAAAATGGAATATTTACTCTTAGTGCTTTGCATGTGGCTACCCTACTCTGTGGCTAAGTCAGCACCAAGTCTTAGGGTGGGTGCCCAAGGTTCTCTCACTGCTTGCCTTACCCACAGAGAAAAGAGCTATAGAGAAAAGAGATACAGAGCCTTTCTCTTAATCCCACGTATCTAGCTACCTGTCTTTTTCTTTTCCCCCTCAGGGTATTGTTGTTTTCTGTAAATTCCATGGACATACTGTGAAACAATGAGGTTGGGGCCTCCATTGTAACCATCACCCAAATAATGGACTTTACACCCAATTGATACTTTTTCAATTCTCACCCTCCTCACATCCCCCTCCCTTTTGGAGTTCCCATTATTTATTATTTCCATCTTTATGCCCATGTGTACTCATTGTTTAGTTCCCACTTATAAGTAAAAACATGCGGTATTTGATTTTCTGCATCTGAGTTCTTTCACTTAGGATAATAGCCTTCATTCATGTTACTTTAGGGGACATGATGTCATTCTTTTGTATGGCTGCATACAATTCCATGGTGTATATATACCACATTTTCTCTGTCCAGTCAACCCCTGATGGACACTTAGGCTGTTTCCACGACATTTCTATTGTGAATAGTGCTGCAATAAACATATGAGGGCAGGTGTTCTTTTTACATAATGATTTATTTTCCTTTGGGTAGATACTCAGTAGTGAGACTGCTGGGCCGAATGGTAGTTGGATTTTTCGTTCTTTGTGAGCTTTCCACACTGTTCTCTGTAGAGGATGTACTAATTTACATTCCCACCAAGAGTATATAAGTGCTTTCTTTTCTTCACATCCACACCAACATCTGTTGTTTTTCACTTTTTAAATAACAGCTGTTCTGACTTGCCAGTAAGATGATATCTCATTCTGGTTTTAATGTGCATTTGACTGATGATTAGTAATGTTGAACACTTTTTCATATGCTTGTTGGCTGCTTATATGTTTTCTTTTGAGAAGTGTCTGTTCACATCCTTTGTCAACTTTTTAATGGAGTTGTTTTTCTTTTTTGTGTGACCATTTTATGTATTGTTAGCTTTAAATTTATTTTTTCTCTTTTTCCTCTTTTCCAATTTGTTTTCTTTTTTAAAATTTAATTTAATTTTAAAATTGTGGGGTACAAGTCAGAATTGTGTACATAAGTTTTTTTTTCTTGCTGAGTGGTTTGAGTTCCTTGTAGATTCTGGATATTAGCCTTTTATCAATGGCATAAATTGAAAATATTTTTCCCATTCTGTAGTTTGTTTACTCTGTGCAGTGCAGAAGTTTTTTCGTTTAATTAAATCCCATTTGTCTATCTTTGTTTTTATTGCATTTGCTTTTGAGGTCTTAGTATAAATTATTTCCTGAGACCAATGTCCAGAAGAGTTTTTCTTGTTTTCTTCAAGACTTTTTATAGTTTGAGTCTTTGGTTCATCTTGGGTTAATTTTGTGTACGGTGAGGGGTAAGGGTCCAGTTTTAATCTTCTGTATATGGTTAGCTAATTTTTCCAGCACCATTTATTGAATAAGGTGCTCTTCCCCGTTGTTTATTTTTGTTGACTTTGTCAAAAATCATTTGGTTGTGGGTATGTGGCTTAATTCTGGATTCTGGGTTCTCTATTGTGTTACATTGATGAATGTGCTTATTTTTGTACCAGTATCTTGCTGTTTTAGTTATTATAACCTTGTAGTATAATTTGTAGTCAGGTAATAAGCTTTGTTCTTTTTGGCTAGAATTGCTTAGGCTATTTGGGCTCTTTTTTAGTTCTGCATGAACTTTAGAAATTATTTTTCTACTTTTGTTATGAAGTAACAGTTGTTCCATAGAAGTAAATGTTTTCATTTCTTATTTTATCATGCTCCCTCTTAGCTACTGGAACTCTTGCCCTCTAATTCCCCTTATAAGAGAATTGGATTGAGTTTTTTGTCTTCGTCCTGAAGGTATTACTGGCAGATTTTTCTCATCTGGTGCTTGATGAACCAATGGCTCTCTCTATAGATCATGGATCCAATGATGGCTCAATATTGGAATCACCTGGGAATCTTTAAAAGTACTGGTGGTTGGGTCCCACCTTCTGCCCTTTGATTTAAGAGGTCTGGGCTGAGAACTGGGTATTGGATGGTTTTTAATATTTAAAAAAAAAGTTTCCTAGATGTGGTCAAGTATGGAAGCACAGCTATGAATGCATGCATTCAGTTTTTCAGTTTCGGCATTATATAATGCCAATGGGAGCAATTTAAGCCAAAGAAATTGGCTATTGTGACTTTGAACACAGGAATAATAGAAGGAAAGGAGGGTGAAATGTCAAGACACACTTGGCTCTTGGGAGTTCCTTAGTTCTATTATCCATAAATTTACTTAAAAGTCTCTCCATCAAAAACCAAGATAACTTTCTGTGATGATAGAAATGTTCTATTCTGCTCACCCAATATGATAGCCATGAGTGACATATAAGTATTGAGCACTCCAAAAGTGGATAGTACAACTTAGAAACTAAATGCTTAGTTTAACTAAGTTTAATTAATTTGACATTAAATAGTCACCCCTGAGTAGTGCCTACTGTTTCAGACAGCACAACTCTAGCTTTTAATAACATAGTCTTTTATTTTTTATCGACTGATTTTTGATATTTTCCATATTTTTGTAACACAAGGACTTCACTTGCCAGCATATCAGAAGACCAGAATCTTCACAGAACCCAGAATCAGGTAATGGGCTAATGGGGAGAAGGAGTGAAGGGTGTGTGTTGATGGAAATGTTCTGTGGTTTTATGTGAAGACAATTGTGAAGTCTTTTGTGCAGTGATGATCAGAAGAGATATATCTTACCTCTACCACAGTGCACTGTGCAGTTTGAATGGAGATATTTAAGCCTCTCACTCTTGGGGCACGGAAATTCTCAAGGAAACAAGAGGATGATCCATGGTGGCTGGGTACAAGGGCAAGGGCTAGGAAGAATATGCATTCTTCTGCCTCTTCAGTTTTGGTGCTTGGTCCTTTTTTTTTGGCCTGGACTATCTTCAACAGCAGGTGTCCCAGCTATTTGAAACCAATAGAAGTTAAGCCACATTGGTTTCAGTCCCAGGCAAATGGTGCCCATCACCATAAGTGTCCAACCTGGCTTCCCAGTAAACCTTATAGAATTTGGTGGTACAATTTTAATAATAAAAAGAACATTCATGTGCCATTTCTTATCTGAATTCAAAGAGGCAAAGCCCTCTGCTCTGGTCCCTTTTTGTTCGAATTCTTTACCTATTATCCCAACAGCACCTTGTAATTCAGCATCCAGAACTCTGTCAGGACACACATTTTCCAGCTATGTACATCTCACATGTGCATTTTCTTTTCAGGTTACATTTGCTCAGAGGAGGAGCAAATAGTTTCCTCTGTTGCTCCTGAACTGTATCTTGAGGTTGAACAAGATCGTAAAGACTATTAGTTTCTGGGACCTGAAGGATGTGTGAATATTGAAGTGATTGATGAAAGCACAAACACATATAGGTAAGAGCAGAAGATGCTGATGACTTAGATGCTGATCCTTAGAATTTATTAATCACATGTTTATTTCATGTACCATCAAGTTGGTATTTTAATTTCTACATATATAGAATGCAGAAAAATCGGAGCCCAGAGAGTTTAGTGAACTCTCCATTTTATTTTCTGATTTAGCAAAAGTCACAGCCCCTTGTTTTACCCCAAACACGACATCCATCTACACACTGTTGTTTAAATCCAAGTCCTGGTGTTCCTTCTGTCATCATGACCTATCACTCTGGCTCCTTTCAGCATTCACTTCTCCACTGCTGGCTCTTATTTCTGGTCAGTCACGGGCCTTGGCTTCATGGTGAGGATGGCAGTGACCATAAAGATTGTGTTAGATTTCTGGAGTCTGCGCCTGGACTTTGACCTGCAGCACAATGAACAGTGGCTGGTGGCCGGCCCCTTGCTTGACATCACCACAGAACCAGAGGGGGCTGTTGCTGAAATCCGCCTTCCCCCCTTCATCTCCCTCCAAGGTACTGGGGGGTGAGATTAGGCTGTGGGGATTGCTGGGGAGCATTCTGTCTCATAGCTGTTGCGGTTTGGGGGTGAGAGGAGGCTGTGGGGGTTGAGCATTCTGTCTCATGGCCTTTGTGGTTCTCCTGAAGCAGGTGAGGTCGACGTCTCCTGGTTCCTAGTTGCCCATTTTGAGGATGAAGGGATGGTCCTGGAGCAGCCAACCCGGGTGAATCCTTTCCATGCTGTCCTGGAAAACCCCAGCTTCTCTCAGATGGGATTCCTGCTGAGGATCACCAGGGGGACCTTTCTCTCTGTCCCCATCACAAGCACCACATTGGTCTATTTTCACTCCCACCCCGAAGATATCAAATTCCATGTGTACCTTGTCCCCAGTGACACCTTGCTAATGAAGGTAAGGCTGACTAATTTTGGCGATCGTATGCGAGAATTATATTTTCATATTATCACCTTGATCCCTCCAGCCCCTTGTGGAATGGAAAAGTCAAGGCTCAATTTTATTGAGAGAAGCAAGAGTCGCTCTTCCATGAGCACAGGTGCTGACCCTTGAGTAACAATTTCTAGATAAGTTCGGTGCTAGTGAAAAGGGAACTTCACTTTTCTGGTTTTCAAGGAGAAGGAGAAAGTCAGAGGAGACTTTTGGGGAAATAAGCGGCACAGATTCTATCATCAAATTTTCAGTGGATAATATGTGAGTGACACACTCAGACACTCACCTCTCTGCAGTCACCCTCTTTCCATTCAGTGACATCTCTCTTCAATGCATTTGCAAAAGGCTGATAGTCTTGTACTCTCTCCTGGGTTAGTGATGAAACAGATGTGCTGGTCACTGTGGGTTTATTTCTTTATCAAGTCTCACTTCTGTTCCTCCAACCTCGGCAGGGAGAGTATATGAGGAAGATTTGATTAAGTTCTACTGTTCTGCTGCCCAATGCCCCACATTCCAATATCAAGAGGCAGAGGTATGCCTTGGAATATTTAGTGTGGTGAGTGACTGTGGGTACTTTAAATACAATACAAGAGAAAAAGATTTATTTTGTTTTGTTAAAAAAAATTTATTTTAGCCGGGCTCGGTAGCTCAGCCTGTAATCCCGCGCCTTTGGGAGGCTGAGGTGAGTGGATTGCCTGAGCCCGCAGGTTCGAGACCCACCTGGGCAGGCGAGACCTCGTCTCTACAATAAACAAACAAAAAAAAATTAGCCAGGCGTGGTAGCACGTGCCTGTAATTCCGGCTACTTCCTGAGGTGGAAGGATCGCTGGAGCCCAGCAGGTCGAGGCTGCGGTGGCCAGAAGCGGCCACTGCACTCCAGTCTGGGTGACAGAGTGAGACTCCAACTCAAAAAAAAAAAAATTTATTTTACTATAGAGATGTAAGGTACATGTGAGGATTAACCTCACAGGTAAGCTGTAGGCAGGTGAAATCTGGGCTTCTCGCTGGCCCTCACTCCAGCGGAGTGGACCAGGTCCCCTTTGTGTTGTCACATGCTTCCCACCCTCCTCCCTCCCTTCCTTTCCTAGCAGTGCTCAGTGGTTGCGAATCCCTCCCTTGTACTAATGTGACTAATGTTTAGGGCCCACTTATAAGTGAGAATATGCGGTATTCAGTTTTTTGTTTCTGTGATAGTTCATTGAGTATGATTGTCTCCAACTCCACCCAGTTCGCTGCAAAATTCATGCAATTCTGCAATTCCTCTCCTGGGAATATATGCAGCAGAACATAAATCGTTCTACAAAAAAATCACCCGCATACACGTGTATTGCCACACTAGTCACAATAGCAAAAGCATGGAACCAACCTACTGGCCATCGAAAGTGGACTGGATAAAGAAAATGTGGTATACACAATGGAGTATTATGTAGACATAAAGAAAAACAAGAAAACATTTAAATCTGGATGATAAAGATGACAGTTCCCACAGTGGACAGGAAATGAATAAGCTCCAACCAATTCTCATGTAAATTTTTTGTGTTTATCCATTTTTTTTAAAGCTTGTAAACATTAAAGGGGTACAAGTGTAGTTTTGTTACATGGGAATATTGCGTAGTGGTTACATCTGGGCTTTTATTGTAACCATTACCAAAATAATATACATTGTACCCATTAAGTAAGTTCTCATTATGCACCAGCTTCACATCCTGTCACCCTTCTAAGTCTCCAATATTTATTGTTCCACACATCTATGTGTAGACATTAGTCAGTTTCCCCATATATGTGAACATGTGGTATTTGATGTTTTGTTTCTAAAGTTGTTTCACCTAAGCTGACGTCCTCTTGTTCTATCCATGTTGTTGCAAAAGAAATGTTTTCCTTCTTTTTTATGACTGAATAGTAATTTATTGTGTATGCTACGTTTTCTTTGTTCATTCATCCATTGATGGACACTTTGGTTAATTCCGTATCTTTGCTGCTCTGAATAGTGATGTGGGAAACATGTGAGTGCAGGTGTCTTTTTGATATAATCATTCATTTTTCCTTTGGGTAGATCCAGTAATGAGATTGTCAGATCAAATGGCAGATCTATTTCTAGTTCTTTGGGAAATTTCCATATTGTATACCATAAAGATTGTACTAATTCTCATTTCCACCAACAGTTTAAGCATTCCCATTTCTGTTTCCTTGCCAGCATCTATAATTTTTGACTTTTTAATAACAGACATTCCAACTGGTGTAAAATGATTCTCATTGTGCTTTTAATTTTCATTTCTTTGGTGATTAGTGATGTAGAGTAGTTTTTCAGTCAGCATTTTGTATGTCTTCTTTTGAAAAATGACTGTTCATTTATTTTGCCCAGTTTAGTGATCTTTTTTTCTTGTTGAATTGTTTCAGTTTTTTAAAATTTGTGTGTCAGACTCCTTTTAGGATACATTGTTTGCAAGTCTTTTCTCTCATTCTTCAGGTTGTCTGTTCATTCTGTTGATTTTTCTTTTGCAGTGCAGAAGCTTTTTAATTTAATTAAGTCTCATTTGTCTATTTTTTATTTTTGTTGCATTTGCTTTTGAGATCTTAGTCATAAATTATTTGCCTAGGCCAATGTCCAGAAGAGTTTTTCCTAGGTATTCTTCAAGGATTTTAATAGTTTGAGGTCTTACATTTAAATTTTTAACTCACTTTAAATTAATTTTTGTATATGCTGAGGGATAGGAGTCCAGTTACATTCTTCTGCATGTGGCAATCTAATTTTCCCAGCACTATTTATTGAAAAAGGTGTCTTTTCCTCAGTGCATATTATTGCTAATTTTGTGGAAGGTCAGATGGTTACAGAAATGTGGCTTTACTTCTGGGTTCTCTATTGTGTTCCATTAATCTATGTGTCTATTTTTATACTAGTACTATGATTTATTTTTAAACTTTTTTATTCTTATATAATTTGAAGTCAGATAATACGATGTCTCTAACTTTCTTTTTGTTTGTTTAGAATAACTATGGCTAGTAGGCCTTTTTTTGGGTTCTGTATGAGTCTTAGGATTGTTTTCACTAATTCTGTGAGAAATAACTTTGATATTTTGATATAGAATTTATTGATTTGTAGATTGATTTTTGAAGAATGGTCATTTTAATAACATTGGTTCTTCCATTCTGTGCACATGAGATGTTTTTCATTTGTTTGTATCATCTAGAATTTATTTCATCCATGTTTTATAGTTTTCCTTGCAAAGATCTTTCACCTCATTGGTTAAATATATTCCTCAGTATTTTATTTTTATTTTTTGGAACTATTGTAAATAAAATTGGCTTTTTGATTTTTTGTCCTTAATTTTGTGGATGTAAATCATCACATTTATTGATTTGCATATGTTTAATCATTCTTGCTGCTGTATTCAGTTTGCTAATTTATTTTTTTTTTGAGTTGGAGTCTCACTCCATCACCCAGACTGGAGTGCAATGGCTGCTCCCGGCCACCGCAGCCTCAACTTGCTGGGGTCCAGCTGTCCTTCCACCTCAGCCATCCAAGTAGCTGGAACTACAGGTGCGCACTACCACGTCCAGCTAATTTTTGATTTATTGTAGAGATGAGGTCTCGTCAAGTTGCCCAGGTGGGTCTCGAACCCGCCAGCTCAGGCAATCCACTTACCTCGGCCTCCCAAAGTGCTGGGATTACAGGCTGAGCCACTGAGCCCGGCCTGCTAATTTTTTTTTTGAGACTTTTTGCATCTATGTTCAGTAGGGATATTGACCTGTAGTTTTACTGTTTTTTGTTATATCCATGTCTAGCTTTGGGAACAGGATGATATTGACTTCATAGAAGGAGTTATAAAGCATCTCCTCCTCCTCGATTTTTTGTGGCTGGTTCAGATATTCTTTGTATGCTTGATATAATTTGGTTGTGACTTCATCTGGCCCTGAATTTCTTTTTTGTCGTTGAGATATATATTTTTTATTATTACTGATTCAGTTTCATTGTCTGTTATTAGCTTGTTTGGGATTTCTATTTCTTTCTTTTTGTTATAATCAATATTTTTTATTATGATATTGTGGGGTACGGTTAAGGGTTAGGTATACAAATATGCTTCATTCAGGCACCCTTGTTGATAAGAGTTGTCTCCCCGTCCCCAGACAGATGTTTACTACCATTAATCCCATCTCCCTCCTCCCCCATAGTTTCCCACCACTATCAGTCATTTTCTTATGGTAATACGTTGGATGATCAAAGTCCACTATATGAGTGAGAACATGTGATACTCAGATCTTTGTTTCTGTGAGAGGTCACTCAGTATTATAGACTCTAGTTCCATCCAGGTTGCTGCAAAATTCATGATTTTGCTCTTTTTTATGGCTGCATAGTATTTTATTGTGTATATGTACCACATTTTTTTTAACCAATATTTTTTATTATGATGTTGTGGGGTACAGTTAAGGGTTAGGTATACAAATATGTTTCATTCAGGCACCCTGTTGATAAGAGGTGTTTCCCCATGCCCAGACAGATATTTGCTACTGTTAATCCCATCTCCCTCCCCCCCATAGTTTACCACTACTGTCAGTCATTTTCTTATAGCATTACATTGGATGTTCAAGGTCCATTATATGAGTGAGAACATGTGATACTTGGATCTTTGTTTCTGTGAGAGGTCACTTAGTATTATAGACTCTAGTTCCATCCAGGTTGCTGCAAAATTCATGATTTTGTTCTTTTTTATGACTGCGTAGTATTCCATCGTGTATATGTACCACATTTTAAAAAACCTAGTCCTCTTTTGATGGGCAGCATGGTTGTTTCCAGGTTCTTGCTATTGTGAACAATACTGTGATAAACATACGTGTGCAGGTATCTTTTTTATAGAGTGATTTGAGTTCTTCAGGGTATATTCCCAGTAGGGGGATTGCGGGGTCACATGGGAGGTTGATATTTAGAGCTTTTAGGAATCGCCACACTGCTTTCCACAGAGGTTGCA